GATGGAGGTGGAGGATTAAGAGGTACAAACTACCAGATATGAAACAAGCTATAAGGATGTACAACATGGGGAATGTAGCCAATGTTTTATAAGAACTATAAATGGAATATAACCTTTCAAAATTGTGAATTACTATATTTTATACCTCTATCATATAATATTATATACCAACTATACTTCAATTTAAAAAATGATATTGTTAAATAAATACATAAATTTAAAAAGTATTGAAAAAAAAGAAAACCTTGGGAACAAGCTTCTTAATATCAGTCTTGGCAGTGATTTTTGGACTTGACACCAAACGCAAAGGCAACAAAAGCAAAAACAAACTCAAACTAAAAAGTTTCTGCACAGCAAAGAAAACCAGAAACAAAATGAAAAGGCAATCTATGGAATGGAAGAAAATATTTGCAAATCATGAATCTGATAAATAGTTAATATGCAAAATATATAAAGAACTCATTTAATTCGATAGCAAACAAGCCCCAAACAATTCAATTTGCGAATGGGCAAAGGATCTGAATAGATATTTTTCTGAGAAGTACATGCAGGTGGCCAGCAGGTGCACGGAAGGGTGCTTGAAGTGACTGATTGTTGGGGAAATACAAATTGGGGGCACAGGGGGCTATCACCTCACACCTGATAGAGTGGCTATTATCAAAAAGACAAGAAATAACAAGAGATGGCAAGGATGTGGAGAAAAGAGAACCTTCCTACATTTGTTGATGGGAATATAAATTGGTGCAGTCACTATGGACAACATTATGGAGGTTACTCAAAAACTTGAAAGTAGAACTACCATATGATCCAGCAATTCCACTTCTGGGTATTTATCTGAAGAAAACAAAACACTAACTCAAAACATATATGCATCCACATGTTCAATGCAGCATTATTTACAATAGCCAAGATATGAAAACAGTCTAAGTGTCCATCAATGGAAGAATGTATTTTAAAAAAAGTGGACTATATGTACAATGGAATATTATTCAGCCATAAAAAAGAATGAATTCTTGCCATTTGCAGCAACATGTATGGAACTAGAGGGCATTCTGCTAAGTGAAGTAAGTCAGATGGAGAAAGATAAATACCATATGATCTAACTCGTATGTGAAATCTAAAAACAAAACAGCACAGGGAACTATAATCAATATCTTATAGTAACCTACAATGAAAAAGAATATGAAAATGAATATATGTATGTATATGTATAACTAAGACATTGTGCTGTACATCAGAAATTGACACATTGTAGACTGACTATGCCTCAATTTAAAAAATAGTAAAAGCAAAAAAAAAATGTAACAAAATGAAACAAAC